TTGGATAGAGTTGGACAGAAAGAAAAGAAGTAACAACGTAAGGTGAGAAGAAAAAGCTAACTCCACGTTAGCTCTTATATGCCCTATAAATGGTGATCGAAAGAAAATTATGACCGTGACAAGCAAACAGCATTTGCTACAGTATTTGCTGTTTGACTCTTTCCTTAAAATAATGATGTCTTTGTAAAAAATATGATATAAAATTTTTCATCACTACAAAATTTCCCCTCGTTGCTGAGAGGTACTGAACGTAGTGTTCAAGGGGCACTCTTCAACGAGATCCGGTCGTACTCAACTCTTAAGGGGAAACAAATGTGTCTGGAAAGAAACTTTTAACCTTTAACTGTTGTCGCAGTTGTTGTTTAGGCTAGAAATAGACCTGAAACCATTTCTGCGAAAACAGGGTCAGCACTTAGATGAATGAGCAAAAGGTTCCAGGTTCGATTCTTGATTGGGGCAAGGTGCCCTTTTAATACTCGTCGCCTATATAGATTCTGCATTCCGTTCATAACGTTCCGAGAGACCTAATCCTCTTCCCTTTTGATTCTTGGTACCTGCATTAATCTGCCTCATGATGACTGAGATCGCTTTGCAGACGAGGGAGAGATATCGGGTTTTGATGTCCATGGAGACAAATTGATCTCGGCCCACGCCGAAAATATCTCCACCAACACGAACCTGGGCAACAAATGACTCGCGCTGATTTGACTCGTATCGTAATGAGTAAGAAACGGAAGGGGGATCATCTAAGCTGATATTTCATAAAAAGTTCTAGCTCCAGTAAATGTTTTCCAAGGTATCACATTTCATCAGTAGAAGGAGGCTGCCATCTGTCACCTGCATGCTTCGAGAAATTAATAGCTTTCGTTGTACGGGCAAACAAAGTTTCCACCTCATCAGGACTTATTAGATCGATGAGGCTCCACTGAGTTAGTTGACTAAAAAACGATAGTTGATTAGCCTCACCATAGTTCAGGCCAAAACCTGTTCTGCGATCTGAGGTATCCGTTGGACTCATAGTGCATACTGAAGGGCGTGATCAGCACTAATTTCCCATGCTCCCTTCCTTAGTGATAAAACGGAACCGAGCATCGCCTCGTTAACACGCTCAAAGTTTCACGAAAGAGAGACTGCAGATGTGAATTCTGCACGTTTGAGATCAAATTAATTTTTTGCAACACTTCTCAGTAGAACTGCTATGATTTATAGGAGTTAGAAAACAACAATAATTGAATTTTGACTTTTTTTGTTGGATAACTGCTGTTTTACGCCGCAGTTCGCGTTGCGAATGTTATCACAAGAATGCTGAGGTTGTGGGCAAAACTTTCGCCCCAGCCGGGATTCGTACCCGGATCTCTTGCTTTCCGGGCAATTGTGCTACCAGTTACACCACCGGGGCATCATTTCACCACGCCCCTTAGCTTCGATGGTCACATGTCAAAATGGTAACATCTAGTCAAGCTTTCAGCCTTGCGGTATACTGCCGCAATCGGCTAAGCGCCTCATCACGTTATTACGCTGATTGCTGTTAGCTATGATAACCACACCATGAAGCTGAGGTGCTCCGATGGTGTAACTGGTGGCACAATTGCCCGGAAAGCAAGAAATTCGGGCACGAATTCCTGGATAGAAGGTTTTGCCAACAATATAGCATTCTTGTGATAACAATAATTAAAGTAATAAATGCGCGAAGATGATGTGTAATAGTAATAAGTGGCGCCGCATATTACAGTACGCTCTGGTGGTGAGGGGGAATCGAATCGCTCTGGTAAACTAAGTGTTCCATTTCTGCGGTGAATAATTAGCACCAGCACGGTCGAGAAAAAAAAGCAACTACAATAAAAACCTTATCATGCACACGCAATCTCGCAACTCCCTTCCCCCCTCCCTACACTCCCCGCAAGTTTTCGCAAGCCTACTCTCGTGAGAGGCTAATTAGGATTCTGAATTTATGTATAGCGCGGCGCCCAAATCAAAAAAGATACCATAATGACCACATTCATAAAAAAGACTGTTCATTTTTCTTTCGTTTCATGGCGCTGAAATTTTAATTCGGAATGCTAATGAGATCTAAGGGATTGAGAGTTTGATCAATGTTGGATTTTTTTTATTCTTTTCATCGCTTTTATTATTATATTTACCAGCTTTGCTCCGCCCGGTATCGCGCGTATCATACCAGCTAAGATCCCAGGCACTCCAGGTACATTTATCACAACCAGATTAGTCCCCCGTCAACCGCCGGGACCTTCCTTTCCTGCGCAAGCTTTCTATCCTCCGCTATGGTCCCTTCCTCCTGTGACACCAACACCTGGAAGTGACGCGTATGCAACACAATGGTGTTTCATACAGTAGAAGGGACACAATCATGATATGACGGTAGATTTTTCGCTTCCCTTCCTCATCCTCCCTTCCTCTCTCCACTGCCCTCCAGCTGCCACTGCAGCACCATGTGGAATGAACGGAAGTGTGCTAAGCAGGTGTTTATATAGCCCTAAGAGTGTTATCACAACTATCCTGCTACAAAACATTGATATCTCAAATCCTGTAAGCTACCCGATTTGTTAGCGGTTTGTTTATCCCATGAGCTTCCTTCTCACTCACTTCATTTTGCGGACGGACACACATACATACACACACGGACACACGGACACACGGACACACGGACACACGGACACACGGACACACGGACACACGGACACACGGACACACGGACACACGGACACACGGACACACGGACACACGGACACACGGACACACGGACACACGGACACACGGACACACGGACACACGGACACACGGACACACGGACACACGGACACACACCACACACACACACACACACCGCTCATATATAATAGAAGGATAGCTCTGTAAACACTCGGCCATTCTCCTGAATTTTGATAATTTAGCGGTGAATAGGGTTATGGTGTTAGCCTCACAATTAAATTGCAACATTATCATAAGTGAGCATCTAATGCTGATCCTTCATTCACAGTGTTCGCAAATCCTAAGCTTTGGCGGTCATTAAATGAGTTCTGGTCTTCTTGGTATTAGATCAAGAATGGAATGTACCATTCGCCAAGAGTCTGCTCAAGCCAAGCTGATTATATCGATAGAATGTCCACGACCCACCCCTAATAACACTTATGAAAAGAGCCCCATAGTGCCAACGTGAACTGCGCAATGGAATTGCCGACTTCTGCCTTCTAAGACTCCTTATCAGCCCCTATCAGTTGCTATCATTTTTGTCGCCCACCTACAATGTCCAGGTACCACCCCATATAACACTTGTAATTATGAACGCTCAAGTGTCAATGTCAGCTGCTCAACGGAATGGGGACTTGTGAGTTCAAGGCGCCCTGACAGCCCTTCTATCATCCTATTTCACCCACAGTGTCCCGGTACCACCTCACATAACACTTGTAAGTATGAACGCTCTAGTGTCAACGCGAACGCTTGAGTTAAAGGAATCTTGCGCGGAAAATTCTTGCACTCTTTCCTAACATGAATATGTCAGTTGTGATCACTGGAAATAGCACACAAAGTTTCACGCATGAAGATTCGGTTTCTGAAGAGAAACAAACGTACAAAAACTACACGTTATGGACCATCGAAGGACCAGGAGGCAGAGCCAGGCGAGGCATGGAAAGAAGACGGCGTTTGGCCGGCTACGTACCAGGCGACGCAATGAGAGAATCGGGTTAAAGCGCGCGATTTCGGAGAGTGGAGACAAATCGATCGATGGAATAGGATGGAGTAGAAGTGTAAGATGTGAATGCAACGAAGCAGAAGGCCAGAAAGAGCTTCTAGTGAATGCACTCCAAGAACCAAGTTTGAGCATCCCCGTCGCCAGCATTCGTGAAAGACGTCCGTGGGCAATTCGAACGCGTAGCAGCCTTTTCGAGTTTTCGAATTTCTAATCAAAACGAAAGCAATACTTCAGTTCTTTTCACTATTATCGTGGATAATGAGTCTCAAGCCAGTGATTTATGGCTGAAATAGAATCATGATTTTTCCGCGCAAGATTCCTTTAAGAAAGAAAAAAAAACGAGAAGGATTGGGAGAAAAATTAAAACGAAAGTAAAAGGAAACAAAGGAAAGTAACTGACGAATACACAGGCGCGGGAAGCAGTAAATGCCTAAAACCTCGCTCGAATTTGTCGCGCGGTTTCCCGCACGCGGCAAGCCGCGTGTACGACGTCGCGCGGTGACTGCCCACAGGCCTAATCCTTAGCTCTTGCTTTACAGCCAAACCCCCGAAATGAATTCGATCCTACTGAATGGTTGTTCTTATACTGGTAGGAAAGTGGTATCACAATCACGATATCTTTCGCCTCTAGTCGACCATTTTGCGGACGGACAGACAGACGTGCAAACACACACAAACAAACCGACACACCAAACTTCTGGTTTATATAATGAAGTGATTATTACATTTAGGTTATTTTTGATACGCCCACTCCGAACAATGAGCCCCAGTGTGGTGACCCTGATGAGAATGACTCTATACCGTTGTATCTGGTCATTATAGGTGAGATACACTATTGTGTTTTGTGCGTTATTGTATCACTTCGAGAATCGTAAATGTCGACATATTAAGCAATTATGTATAGAAGTAACATAAATCTTGCAATCGTTTCAGTACTTGCATTTTGGATGCTTTTGTGTTGTGCGGTCTTCGTCTATTTTGAAAATTGGACCCTATTTGACACACTATACTTCTTCTTCATCTCCCTCACAACCATTGGTGAGTTCCTTTTTCCGCTGTGGGAGACGGCTTCAAAAAAGCTTGTAGGAGGCGGTAATGGACATTTCAACCACCTCACTGTAACTGATGAAAGTCATAAGTCGACGGAATCGTCAGCTCACCGCGTCTCTAGTGGGCAAGAAAACCGGTGACTTCTGGACGAGAACTTCACGTTCATCGACTAGCGAGCACAATTTTCTCACTGTAGGATATCCTACACTGTGAAACTGAGACTGAGTAGAATTTACCGTCAAACTGCGATAACAATTTTAAAGCATGAGGACAGCGTGGTATACACATGACTTGAGATTTGAGGAGCTTCGTTTTGAGCAAATTGTTCCTCCATTTACAGGTTACAGACTGGCCGTACGTAGGTGCCATCCTTGATCGAGAGGGGCGTGTGGCTGCGCGGCGCTCTGCTTGTCTGCGCCTCTGCGGTTGGTGCCAGAGTCTGCGTTCCGCCACGCGAATCGCGCGAACCACAAGTGCCCCGATCAATACTGCAAGGTGCTCTCCAATCCCGCCGCCATTTCTGCTTGATGGTGATGGTTGAATGACGACTGTTCATGATTCTACTTGTTTCATATTCAGTGTTTCAAATGTTCAAATAGGCACTTGCGATTTTTGCGATTGCGTGTGACGGATCGCGGACTGACACAAACCCAAGGCTTAGTCCTGCGACCACTTCTATTATATTAATATTTTCATTTCAATTATTATTTATTAATATTTCGACGCCACGTGGCACTTTCGAAATACAGCGACACCGCAGACTAAGCCTAGGAGGCGCAGACGAACAGGGCACTGCACCGACCCCTTGCCAAGCCGAGTTCTTATCGGATACTTTAAATATCAATAATATATAGACATTTATCACCAATAATGAACTTTTTGATGAAATAATAATCACTAGCGCAAAATGGTAGAAAAGATGGGTTGATACGCGCGCAACAGCCGTCGCCAAAGTGTTAAAAATTGACGACTTCCTTTATTTAGCTTTTATTCAGCTTTTTCGTGAGCTGCGTTTTGTGAGCCTTTATTTACTCTTCAGAAAGGGAAAAGTGAATTTTTCGTTGATGCGCCGGCACGTTGTATTCATTACTTTGGATTATTACATATATTGCTGATAGCTTTAGGAGGAAACAAGTATGCTTCTTCATATGTAGTTAAAAAAATTTTGCGCCTTCACCCAATTCTTGATATTTTGTTATTCATTTCTATCAAAAAGCTCTTGCGAAACTGAAGAAACTGATTCCTCAGTATATTTTCCCACATACACCTCGTTATTTCTATGTTTTCCATCACTTTATCTCTCTTTTCCCATCAGATATTCGGCAAGTGGACACGTACCATACTCGTCCATTTGTCGCAACGTCGCGGGGCACGCCCTTCAGCGCGGCGAAGCTGACGATTCTGTTGACATGTGCTTTTGTAATTACGCTGAAACAGAAGCCCCTAATGCAGAGCAAGAGGCTCAGCAAAAAGTTTGAGGTGTCAGGCTTTTCTGCCCAGACCCATCCGTCTGTTCATCATCGTTAATTT